TCCACCGAGAATCCGTAATGCGCGAGAAAGTCTGCTCCGAGGATTGGCTGCTGTACATCCGCGACCAGGAAGACCCACGTCAGCTTCGAATGGGGGGCGCCGCTGAAAAGGAGTGTCGTGGAGCGCTCACCGTATACGTTGATGGGAGAACAATTGGCGGCCTCTAATGTGCGAGAGGCGGGCGAGGTCCTGTCCTTGTGTGATGCGGGGATAAGGCTGACCTCTGCTCCTGTGTCTACCAGAAACCGTAGGCGGGAGTCGATGTCACGGACGTAGAGCAGGCGCCGTCTGGGGCCGCGAGAGACCGGCGCTATTAGTTCCCGCGGTGCCCGTTTCCCGGCCAGGAGCAAGGGGGCTGACACCGCTGCGCTTGGGCACCGAATCTGGAGTGATAGAAACAATAGCTACCTGGGGTCGGGGAGCGGCGGCGGTTGTAGTTTCGACGGTGCTGATACGTGTAGTCTCGTCCGCGGTCGCGGTTGGCACGGGGCGAAGCGGGGCTGCGATGGCGGGGCCTGGGATGTGGTGAAGGGTCGCGGGTTGCGAGCCGTCGAACGGCGGTTGTGAGCTCGGCGACCTGAGCAGCGAGGGACTCCAGGGTTAATGACGGTGTAGTGGATACAGCTGAAACTTGTGGGTTAGTTTGTATCGCGAGGATCTCGTCTGCTTTCAAGGCTAGTTGCTCGATGGGGAGTTCTGAGGCTAACAGGGCGGTCTGTACCGCCGCCGGCAGACGCTGTAGGAACATCGAGCGCAGAATATCGGGGGCAGGTGATTGGAACCTAACTCGCCAAACGGTGTGTGTCAGGTCCTACGGAGCGCCGAGGCTTGCCGCGGGCTGGTCACCACACTCGAACCCTCAAACTCAGATTGTCGTGACTTTTCTGAGTCCGATGCTCTAACCACTCTTCCACCGCGCCCTCTTAATTGAATTGAACTCGGGATCGGAGTACAGTGCTCTATCCGTTTAACCATGGCAGCGACTTTCTTCTCGAACCTCTTTGTATTGTACAGCACATGCACGAACAAAACAAACACACAAACACTGCAACACATGAATATATACACAAAAAAAGTATAAAAACGTATACCTATACATGCATACACACACATATACACACGATCACACACACAAACAAACAAACGTTCACATACACAACTACGCAAGCGCGCACGTACATGCACGCGTGCTTGTATCCAGGTTTCAAATTAAGCCTAAACACGATAAAATGATGAAATAAATGTTATTAATTTTCAAAAATTTTGTATCTTGGATAACAAGTTAATTGTTACGATTTCTCACGAACCCGGCTTGTTACTTCGTTCCCCACAAGACGATAGAATGCTTTTTCGGGCGCCGTTCTTCCCTGGAGAAGAAAGGAGCTATGAAGCAGCAATAGAAGGTGGAGAAAAAGAAAGCGAAGGAGCGTAGAGCTGTGGAGGAAGTGGAGTTGGAGTAGGCCAAGTAAGCTGAGAAGGACCGAAGAAGACTCGAGAAAGAAGCGAACAAAGAAGTTGAGAAGTTCCTTGAGACCCTCAAGAAAGAGGAGTTGAAGATGGACGAAGGATTTGAGAAGTACCGTAGAGCGATCAAGAAACTGAAGTTGAAGAAGGACAAAGAAGCTCAGAAGTTCTTTGAAACCCTCGAGAAAGGGATGTTGAAGATGGACGAAGAGCTTTAGGAGTACCATAGAACTCTCACCAAACTGAAGTTCATGAAGGTCGAAGAAGTTCAGAAATGCCTTGAAACCCTCGAAGATGAGGAGTTGGAGGTGGACGAAGGAATTGAGAGGTACCGTAGAATGCTCAAGAAACTGAAATTCAAGAAAGACAAAGAAACTCTGAAGTGCCTTGAAACCCTCGAGAAAGAGGAGTTGAAGATGGACGGAAGAATTGAGAAGTACCGGAGAACGCTCAAGAAACTAAAGTTCAAGAAAGACAAAGAAGCTCGCAAGTGCCTTGAAACCCTCAAGACAGGGAATCTGAAGATGGACGAAGAAGTTGAGAAGTGCCACAGAGCTCTCGAGAAGCTGAAGTTCAGGAAAGAGAAAGAAGCCGAGCAGTGTCTTAGAACCCTCAAGGACGGGGACTTGAAGAAGTACCAAGAAACTAAGATGTTCATCAAATTCCTCGAGAAATTGAGGTCGAAGGTGGACGAGGAAGTTCGGAAGTTCTTTAGAGCTCTCAAGAAGCTGATGTTCAGGAGAGACAAAGAAGGCGAGAAGTTTCTTCAAACTTTCGAGAGAGCGAAGTTGGACATGGACGAACAAGTTGAGAAGTGCGCGGAATTTCTCGATTAACTGAAGATGAAGATGGTCGAAGAAAACGGCAAGTGCCTTGGGTCCCTTGAGACGAAATTGGATTTATCGAGAAACTGAGGTTCAAGGAGGACAAAGAAGCTGAGAAGTCTCTCGAAACCCTCGAAGAAGAGGAGTTGGAGATCGACGAAGAATCTGCCCGAAGATCTTCCACGAATGAAACGCAAAAGAAGCGACACTGA